GATCTGATTCAGACGCTGTTTTTTCTAATTAAGGAAATTTGTTCATAAAAATGTTTTTTAATCGTTTCTTTATTTAGAGATAATTGTTTTTCCTGTAGAACATAATATTTTATTAGTATCATCATTAGCATTACCTGCCTGATATTTTCTATAGTTTGAGATTTTAATAGCATCGCACTTCTGGAATAGGTTGTGAACAAGCCAGATTCTGTGAATAATGTCACATTCAGGTTCTCCTCAACTACGGTTAGCATTAGCCTTACTGACTCCCACGCATCTTTGGAGAAGCCATTTAACCTCTCAGTTGCTCAGGTTTACCTTCCATAAAATGGCTTTCCTTCCTCCTTCTTGTAGGATCAAGAGGTAATAAATGTCAGTGTCCTCTGAAGACTGTAAAGCATTTAGAGTTGTCAGTTATCCCAGCTGCTAATAAAAGCAGAACCTTACAAGAGGCTTCTGACAAACCTGGGTAGATTTTCTTTGTTACCAGATTGGGCTTGTCAATAGCTAACATCTATTTGCAGTGATTGAAATCACCTCAAGAGGTTATGCTACAGATTAATCCATTTTAGGGTACTGGAATTTATTTCTAGTTTTAAAAGTCTGTAGAGAAGAAGTTCCAAAGCGTTCTCCTTTAATTGTACTATTTAACAGCATAACTATTTAACAAGTATCTTAGGAAAGGAAAGGAGCCTTAGCGATTTGCACTATGTTCTGACTCATCTAGAGAGTAACTCTATCACTGCAGATGATGGGATGCATCTGCAGGCCGGTGAGCTGATTGAGATGCCAAGTTAATTACAAGTGCTATGTGCTTATACTGCTAAAGGGCTGAAGGAAACTTGACTTTTCAATTGTCTCTGAATTGCCTTTAGGATGAAATCCAAACTGTGAAAGCCACCAGCCCCTTCTTGTATCTCCATCTTTATGTTGACTTCCAGTTTAAGACAGCAGATTGAGCACAGAAATCTTTCCCTTTTGACTTTAAGCATGTAGAAACAAGAGAAGAACAAATAATAGAAACATAGATGCACTCCAGAACAAGAAAGGGAGTTCGTATAAGTGGAATAGAAAAGTGTCCTTGAAAGAAGGACCAGATAGAAGCCTACAGCAGCAAGTGAGGCCAAATCGCTGCCACCCTCAAGGGAGAGAGACTGAAGTCAGGCCCAGCAGGAGGGGCTGGGATACTGGTGTCTGTGAGGGGTCAGGGGCTGGACAAGTGCCCCTGCCTTAAAACTGGGTTCATGGTCGGACGGTCCCAAGTCACCTGGCCCATGTAGGGCAAAGGGCTCCAGTCCAAATGGCCACACAAGGCCTGGTGAGAGCCATTATCCAGACCGAGCCTCAGACTGCCCAGGACATTGTTGTGACCCCAGCACCAAGAGTCTCTCATGACCCAGGACACTCACGAGGGAGAAGCTTACAACCAAGAATCACAAGGACCCGCAGAAACTACTCGTCTAGAAAGCAGGACACCAGCTTAACACACGTGAGGACTTACATCCAAAGAAATATAAATCAATAGGGAAAACAGAAAATGACATTTTAGGTTTTTTCAAAAAATACCAATGTAGGGGCCGGCCTGGTGGCACAGTGGTTAAGTGTGCGCGCTCCACTTCGGCGGCCTGGGGTTCGCAGGTTTGGATCCCAGGCACACACCGACACGCCGCTTGTCAAGCCATGCTGTGGTGGCGTCCCATATAAAAAGTAGAGGAAGATGGGCATGGACGTTAGCCCAGGGCCAATCTTCCTCAGCAAAAAAGAGAGGAGGTTTGGCATCGGATGTTAGCTCAGACCTAATCTTCCTCACCAAAAAAAAAAAAAAAAAAGTACCAATGTGAAAAAGGAGCTTGTGACTATAAGAGTAGATGACCTTGAAAAAGAGCTAATTAGGAATATTAGAAATTAAAATATAACTGTGTAAAATCTTAAAACTCAGTAGCGGGATAAAAGAGCATTCTAGACATGCTCGAGATAAAACGGATAAAGTAGAAGATTTAAGTGAAGAAATCATGAAAATGCTCCCAAAGACATAAAAATGTGGAAAACATGAAAGAAAAAGCTAGGAATGTGGAGGTTGGACTTGGAGGCTCCTGCACAGGTCCAGTTGGCATTCTGGAGGGAGGGAATAGGATGATGGAGAAACAATGTTGAATGAGATCATTACTGGTAATATTCCTCATGTGGAGAGAGGTAATTCTTAGACTGAAAATATTACTGACTGGTAAGCAGGAATTTTAAAGAAAATCCACAAGTGGACATTTTCTAATGAAATTTCAGAATATCAAATATAATGAGAAAATCTACCTTTATCTCTAGACATTTCCAACTCACATTCTCTACTGTGCCAACACCAACACACTCACAATTTCCTGGAGATGCTGCATTCATGGACACCTTCATGCCCTTGAAATCCTTCCTGGCTTGAATGTTCTTCTGTCTCTTGTATCTTGGCTAGCAGTTCCTTCCTCAAGGAATTCTTTCTGGAATTCCTCCCACTTTTTTCTTCCCTAGTATCCTTAAATGTTAGCCCAGCAGGTCCCACTGCTCTCAGCGCTGTCGCAATGTGCTTATTCTTTCAACTTCGGCTCCCACTGTTCTGTGAGCTTCTTAAAGTCAGTTGTAAGGTCTTGCAACTGTGGTTCTTCAGGGATCAGCATGGTTCCTGGAACATGGCCATCACTCGTGCTTGTCACCACCTCAAAGGATGTTTGGAATGAATCAAACTATAAATCAGTGACTTAGATGGTAGTTGAATATGTGAACAAGACCTCGAGGTCCAGAGAGGCCAGCAGTGAGCGTCCTAAGGAAGCGGAGCTGATTATGGACAGAGTCAAGTGTCCTGGGTGGAACCGAGCACTTTTTATAGTGTATATCATAACGCCTCCACCACAAACTCGCCCTATTTAAAAAGTCTTATGTGTTTTTGAAATATCTTCTAAAAAGCAAATAAAGTAACAGGTTTTTTAAAAATAAAACATTTTAGGATGAATAGAACAGTCAACTGTGAAAAAGAAAAAAATTCAGAAAGTGAATAAATTACCTTTGTTTAAACGCAGTCTTCCATACTTTTCTTATTAGACACATGGATACCTCAAAAGGTGGAGCTAGAATCATCCTTGAATAGTGAAGTTTAGTTAGATAAAATTTAAGTTTTAATATGATTATTTTCTAATTATATCCTTGAGTGTCTCAGAAATTTTTATACTTCTTTTTTGTTTGTTTTTGTTTTATTTATTGTATTTTTATTGAAACATTTAACATGTAACATTGTGTAAGTCTAAGGTGCACATGTGGATTTGATACACATGTACTGCAACATGGTTGCCTTTGCAGCATTATCTAGCACCTCTCTTATGTCATATAATTACCATTTCTTTTTTGTGGTGGTAATAATTAAGATCTAGTCTCTTCATAAGTTTGATGTTTATAATACAGTATTGTTGTTTATAATCACTATGCTTTGCATTAGATCCCCAGGACTTATTTATTTACTAGTTGCAAGTATACTTCCTAATACTACATCACAATATAACTTTATTGGATCTGTCTAGTGATCTTTAAAATTTTCATTTATTGTCTGCTCTCCACAGTGAAATGCATCGTGTTTGCAGCCCTGTGTCTTTTTCTGGGGCTGCATCCATTGCAGATAGAAAGGTCCTTGAGGGAAGAACTTGGTTTGCTTTAACATGTTTTGCTTAGCACTTGGGAGAGCTCCACATACACTCAGGTCTACCAAGAAGGCCACCTTGAAGCACATCATTCTGTAATTTTCAAAAGACTTTTACACACATTAATCCTAGTTGATATTCAAGAAATCAATCAGTGCACAAAGTATCACGTGACTTTTCTGACGACTTCGGTAATCTATAACATCCAGAGAGGCCAAAAGAAAGAAACCATAGGAGGTGTAATGAAATCTGTGCACTAGAATCCTAGAAGAAGCTTTGGGGATTTCATTCAGAGATTATTTATTCTTATTTCATTATGTAATCTAACAGAAATTCTTGTTGTTTTCCCAACCTGCCACAGATTTTGAAACAGAAAATTAAAAGAGGCAAAGATGATGTGCATCAGAAATGGTTAAGAGAAAGAGTGTCTTATTAGTGTAACAGAATTGATGGTGATTGGATGAATGCCCTCGTGTGTTTAATCTGTTAGCTTAGGCTCACAGGTCAGACGCAGACGGGCCTTTGTCTTCTCAAAGTAGAGAAATGGATTTTTGTGCCTCTAATGCAGAGAGCCTTTTCTGAGACAGATCTAAAACCCCAGAAGCTTTGACCTCAGGAAATAGGATAAAAGCTGCCAGGTTTCTCAAAATCTCACCCACCAGTGCCATTAACTAAATGCCTCCTCTTGGGAGGGATGTTAGTTTAGTGCCTTCAAGGCTTATCTCAGGCACTTCCTCCCAAGTGGCGTGATCAAGATGAGGCAGGCAGAATCTGGCAGATTGCACACAGACATTTGGGGTGTGATCCTGTCTGTACAAGAACTAATCTCCAACCCAGAGACAGCCAGGGACACATGAGGTGTATGGGGATAAATACCTGAGGAGTACGTTAGTTGTCTTTTAATTCCCAGCACCCAACATGTGCCAATAGTTGGCGTTTAATAAATGCTTAATGACCGATTGATGACATTATAGAGTTGAGATCCATTCTGGACATTAGTTGCTCCCTCTCTTGACCAGTCCCACCGTACTGCACATAAATCCTTCCTGAAACGGTTATTTACCTCCATACCTAGGAAATATGATCACTTATGTGTTGCAAGTGGAGGGGGCGAAATGATGCCCTTTTACTGACTCAGGATCCCCTTCCCATGGTTTTTGATGGTTTAATTAAACACAGAAAGCATGACTGGTCTTGTTCAGCATTTATTTATAGAAATTACATGTTTTACTATATATACTATTTCAAAATGGCAATTATAATGTTTTATGGTCCCTCTCTTTTTACCAAAAAATAAAAAGTTTAACTATTTGTCTCATTCTTTTCTAGCGGAAGATAACAGTCTGTCTCAGAAGAAGAAGGTCACTGTGGAAGACCTCTTCAGTGAGGATTTCAAAGTTCACGACCCCGAGGCTAAGTGGATAAGCGGTGAGTCCCGAGTCCTGGTTGCACACGAGAAACGCTTCCCGCTCCCGGCCACTTTCCCATGGTTTGCCTCTCCCATTCTCTCTGTGGCTGCAAAAGTGGATCCACAGAGCTCTTGCTGTCATAATCATCTTATTATCATTCTAAGAAAATGGGTATCTGGTGGAATCGAGCTGCTCCTTCATGAGAAATGGGTCCTCTGTGTCACCTCCCCGATTCATTATTTCTCAGACGGGGATGTGAGATGTTGCTAGGCAACAGGAACGGGGGGGGAGAGACACAGCTGAGCTCTCATCCCTTCTCCATGTTCTTTATTTCTCCTTATATTCTCCTTGCCTTCACTCCTCACTAGACAGAGGGGCCAAAAGGAACTAAAAGAATGTTTCTAGAATGCCACCAAATGAACAAGACAGTGGAGCCCAGTGCACAGATGCAGATAAATTCATTTTCCATCTTGAACTTTAATCTGGATGAAATCTACTTTTCTTGTTTGGGGGGATTGTTTTAAACAACAAAACAAAATAGAATCAGAGGCAAAAGGCAGTATGTTCATAACTCATTTTTTGGTCCAGGACGTAATCTGTTTCCTTTCGTTGGGTCTGAATTAATTTTAGAGTGCAGTCACGAGAGAAAGGATGGAGATGACTGTTCCTCCATCCTCTGCACGCTCTGTCGCATCCCCCTTGATCAGTCTAGTTGTAGCACCTCCTCTGTCATCTCCATGGATGTTGCTTGCATTTAGTCTTAGCCTCAGTGGGATCCACTTGAAAATTAATCCTCAAGTCAGGAACCCTTATAGTGGAATGCTAGAGGTCTAGTTAAAACCCTGGCTTTTATAATAAGTGAGGCTCAGAGAGGTTAAGTGAGTTTTCTGAGGTCACAGAGCTAGTTAATGGCACAACTGTAGCTGGAAGCCTGCCTCCTGACTTCCCGTTTAATGCTCTTTCCCCTGCTGTTTTGTTGAGTGACGCAGTGTCACCGTGTTTTCTTGCTGTCAAACTGCTTCTGAAATGCATCTCATGCCTCACAAAGTCTCAAAAATCAATGAGCAATGACTCTTTGCCTTTAGTCTCCTACGGGGGAAGTAGCTTCTCCTTTGTCCTCTGTTATGGCTTCAGTATTAATTTCTGATCCTTAGATTAGCTTATTTAAAAATGGAGGAAGTAGATGGATCTTGGAGGGAATATGTTTCATAAAAGGGAACTGGGGAGAAGTGAGAGCAGTGTATTGTGAATACCAGTGGAGGCCATGCAGAAGTTCAGAACATAGATAGAGCCAAGGTCTTTCTGTTTGCCTGAGGAGATAATTTTACCTTTTGTTTTAAGGAAGACTCGGTTCTCTGCTTGCGTTTACTTGTTGCACAGGCAGGAGGTGAGCACCAACAGCATGCTCTGGGCCTGATCTGAGGAATAAAAGATGATTACTCTCTTCTTAAGGAGTGTGAAATCGTGGTCTGGAGATGAAACAATGAGTGACCAATGGTAATCCTGACACAAAATACATAGGGGAGGAATCTGATTTTCTCATTCTTCCTGAGAAGGCATTTCAAAGATGGTGCATAAACTTGGTCTTAAAGGATGGCCAGGAGTTTGCTAACTGTAGAAGGTAGAGAATAGACCCCTGGAAAAATGTAAGTCTGAAATGTTAGTCTGTACTGAACCCTGGTTGGGAGACCCAAGGGTGAGCTGAGAGATGATGTCCAGGGATAGGAAAGAAGAAGGAAAGGGGAGAAGGAAGCCGGGGGGAAGGGTTTGGGGGAGAGGAGGGGAGGGAGGAAGGAAAACTGATGGAGAGGCAGAATCTAGGAATAAACAAGAGGCCAGAAACAAAACCAGGAACACCAAACCAGAGCTGTAGGGTTCAGAGCAAGTTGGAGGAGGCCCTGCAAAGACTCCATGGAATGCTAACTTAATATAGCTATCTATTTTTATTAGGATGCCCATAGTTTCAGGCTTGGCCTAAATCAGTGTTCTATAGGCAACAAAAAAAAAAAGCATAAGCAGAGATCTGGAGGCACAAGAGCACCTGAGTTTCTGCAGGAACCTGTGTCAGTTACTGTTGTAAGTAGTTTGTGTCTCATGAGCTAATTCATACTGCAGATGTGCTGGCTCACTGGCCAGAGGAAATGAGCCAGAATTTCTCTATATTTGCAAAGTTGGGAGTTAATACAAGCAATTGAGAAGTGGCCTCGTGCCCAGCAGAAAATGCCCAGCCTGCCTGTTTTGGCAGGTTAGATCTATTCAGAAAGACCACCTGCGGTTCTAAATAAACCGAACCTTCTAGGTTGAGGAGCTTTGTCAGGAGGATTCTTCCTTTGTAAATGTACACATTGAGGGTGAGGTTTTCTACAAGGTAACCAGGTGGTCCGATCTCTCTGAAGACCAGGCATCATCCCGAGGGTCAGGGAACATCATAGTGGTTTTCTCCCTACACTGCTTTCAGCTGCCCTCCTACTGTTTCTTTCACTTGTTCCTCTTCCTAATCATTCCCTTTCTTCCTGCTTCCTAAAGATGTAATAGCTTAAAGTGAATGAAATAACTTTGCAAGTAGCTGAGACTTTATAATTGATTTTTTACAAATACCATAAAGAATTCATTCATTTTTTTATACCACAGTCTAAGTGTTAAGATCCAGGGAAAGATTCCTACACATTTATAGGGTTATCACATGTTGTAGAGCTGGGATGAGCTTTAGAAATTATCTGAACATTCATCCATTCAATTAGTGTTTATCGAGTGCCTACAGTGTAGCAGGCAATCACTGGACCCAGAGAGGGCAAGTGATTTGTCCATGGAACTGTTTCTTAGTGGTAGACTTGGGAGTCACCACCCACCACCATCACCATCTACCACCACCATCACCACCACATCTACCTTCTTCTCCTCCTTTGTCCTCTGTCTGCTCCTCATCCTCCTCTTCTTCTTCTTCATCATCATCACCATCATCAGTATCACCATCATCATCATCATCATCACATTATCACCATCACCATCATATCATCACCATCACTACCATCATCATCGTAACATCATCACATCACATCATCATCATAACATCATTATCATCATCATCATCTACTGGGGGTTTCCCATGTCTTAAGCTCTAGGCTAAGTGCTTTAAACATATTAAATCATTTAATTCTCACAACCACCATTATTCCCATTTTAGAGATGAGGAAACTGAGGCCTAGGGTGTTTAAATGACTTGATCAATATCACACAGTAAGTAGCAAAATTTGGACTTGAAGCTATGTCTCTGGTTTTTATAAAGTGTGCTACATTGGATAGAATGCAGGTCTCCTGTCTCCAGCCAATTTGTTTCACAACCTCACCAGCTACATCATGTGTTTTAACCCAGGCTATAGGTTGTGAATATTTCAGAATTATTGCCATCCCTTAACTTCTCTATTGTAGCATCCCTTATTCCCATGATGCCTATGTTGAACTAAAAAAATACCCAAGTGATAAAGAAAAATAGTGTAATTCCCCGCACAGAAAGAGACTTGATTTTTTTTTAGTGTACATGAACCACTAAAGTTAACAAACGTATCTTGGGTCTAATACTGAAGTTAATAGTCTAGAACTAATACACTTGATTTATCAGAAGGAAATGTGTTGGATTGGAGTTAAATTTCTCCTTACCAATTTTTATACCAGAGACTTAATTTTTTTTAATCTACCTTTTCTGAAAATGATTGGTATAACAGCCTTTAAATTCTCTGATGTCCTAAGGCCCTCGTACACTTCCATCACGTATTTGTGTCAAGCACTGGGGCCAGCCAGATGAGGTGTGTAGAGCAAAAGAACTGACACCATCCGGAGGCTCCCGCTGAGCTCCCTCTTACAGAGAAGAGGCAAACACTGCCTGAAGTTGGCCACTGTGCAGTCTTTCCACATACTTGCTTAGTTGAGGAAAGTATTTTATGTGTTATACAGCAACCACATTGCACTGCTCAACCTTCTGGATCCCTTAATGTGCTGTGCCGGGATTCCACGATATGAAGTGGTTCCTGTGATGAGGTCTTTTGGCTACTTCAGACCCTTAAGTCTGTTTGTTGACACGGACCAATCTTCCCGGGCTCTCCTTGTCTATTCACTCTTTCCAACTCTGAGATGATGAACAATTTCAAAACTTCTCCTCTCTCCTCAACCTTCCAAACTTCCTTCCCATCCTGCTTCTCAGCTGAGCCTGTTCCCGCCATCACATCTGCTTATCTGCCAGCGTTTGCACCTTCCATGTGATCTGCCCCCTCCCTCAGCCTATAACCACAGATGACCCCTCTGTGCTCAATCTACAGATGTCACAGGTGAACTCACTTCACCTACTTAGGACTAATTGCAGCAACTCTCTCCTTCTCCTCTACATGTTCGTTTATTTTGCTCTGTGTTAGATTATTCCCTTCATCAAACAGATATGCTCGTATTCCTCTTGCCTTAAACACACACACACACACACACAACTTATCTTGATTCCACACTCCGTGCCAGGCACTGTCTGATTTCTCTGTTCCCCTTTGCAGCCTGAAAGAGTTGTCTCTCTGTGACATCTCCACTTCCTCTTCTCCCATCCTCTCTAAACCCACTCAGTTAGGGTTTCACCCCCAGCAGTCTCTGAAACTCCTCTTGCTAAGGTCACCCATAACCTCCAGGTCGCTAAATCCATAGTCACTTCTCAGACTTCGTCTTCTAACCATCAGCAGCATTTGACAATTGATAACTCCCTCCACCTGGGTAAACTTTCTTGCTTGACCTAGAGGTCATCACATCCTCCTGGTTTTGTTTCGACCTCATGGGTGCCTCCTCCTCAGGCTCTTTTGCTGCTTCTTGCTCTTCTCCTTGACTTTTGATGTTGGCGGGCCCCGGGCCTCAGTTTTGGTCCTCCCCTTTTCACATCTGCAGTCACCCCCTCGGTGTTTTCATCTAGTCTTGGGATTTTAAATACTCTCCATCCCCTGATGACGCCTAAAATTCATGTCTCCAGCCAGACCTCGCTCCTGGAGTTCT